AAAACTAGTTTTCATTTTATTTTTATATAGGTATTTTAAAACCTATTTAATATTTTTGTTAAAATAGTTTATTTTGTTAATTAAAATGGTATTTCTTTTATTAAAACAGTATTTTTATTATTATTATATTTTGTTAAAAAGATTTAAAATATTATAAGGTATTTTTTAGTTTATTATTAAAATAGTATTTTTATTTTTAAGTTTTTTTAATTGTATTTTTATTAAACTCATTAAAAGGTTAATTTTTGTTTTCATATTTTATTAAAATAGTACTTTCTATTATTAAACATAGCTTTTAAATCTTTCATTATTTTGATTTTTCATATATGTTACATAGTATTTTTTTTACATTTTTATTAAAATTAGTTAAAATTAGTTACTATTAATATATATTAAATATTACATTTTTATATTTTATTAACATAGTATTTTTAATATTTTTATTAAAATAGTCCTTTAAAAATAAGCTATCGTGTTCATTTGGGTCATTCATCCATCTCAGATTAGTGCTGGACCGCTGCATGTAAGGGACACATTACTGCTGAAACGTGCCAGACACTGCCGAATAAAGGGCCACCTTCGAAATGTGCACTACCATTTTTATTTGAACTAAAATAATTTTTAAAACTAGTTTTCATTTTATTTTTATATAGGTATTTTAAAACCTATTTAATATTTTTGTTAAAATAGTTTATTTTGTTAATTAAAATGGTATTTCTTTTATTAAAACAGTATTTTTATTATTATTATATTTTGTTAAAAAGATTTAAAATATTATAAGGTATTTTTTAGTTTATTATTAAAATAGTATTTTTATTTTTAAGTTTTTTTAATTGTATTTTTATTAAACTCATTAAAAGGTTAATTTTTGTTTTCATATTTTATTAAAATAGTACTTTCTATTATTAAACATAGCTTTTAAATCTTTCATTATTTTGATTTTTCATATATGTTACATAGTATTTTTTTTACATTTTTATTAAAATTAGTTAAAATTAGTTACTATTAATATATATTAAATATTACATTTTTATATTTTATTAACATAGTATTTTTAATATTTTTATTAAAATAGTCCTTTAAAAATAAGCTGTATTTATTTAAATTTTTATTAATCAAACTATATATATATATATATATATTTGTTTGTATATATATTTCTTAATTGCATTTTTATATTTTCAGTCTGTAAAATAGTATGCAGTATGCAATGCTACATACATACATACTGCAAATATAGTAGCAAAATTCCTTGTTAGTGCACTACCCCTTGTGAGCCAAAAAAAAAAGAGAAAGAGAGAGTGAGAGAAACAGAACTGCTTTAATAGTGTCATTTGTAGCTGTAAAAGGAAAAGTGAGTGTGTTGATGAAATAAAGTGTGCCTGCCTGTGTGGGAACACATGCCTGCGCTCAACAACCTTTTGCTTCCACTAAACCAAGCGTGAGCAAAGAGGATGTTGTGTAAGAATCCTTTCCGCCACATATTAGACCAGAAACCGAACAGAAATGTGTGACGTGAAATAACATTCATATGAAAATCGCGAAGCGTCAACAATGGAATATGTCAAGTTGATTCATTTATTCATTGTTTGCAATTGTTTCTGAAATGTTGGCATGACACGGTACCTGAATATATAATTTTTCCTCTTCCGTGATCTTCACAAAAGAGTTGTTATGGTAATCAACAAAAATTTTTCCTAACGATCAGAGTCAAATTTTCCACTTCACGCCAGACTTACTTTATTACATTTTTGGGGTTACTTAATTAACATTCAGGGTTGTGTTTGCAGCCCCACAGAAATGAAACATCACAAATGATATCTGTTTAATATCTCAAGTGTTGCTCTTCAACTGCAAGGCGACTAAACAAAGAGCACATGGAGAGTTTCTTGCTTCTTAGATGTTTCTTCTAAAAATAACACCTGTAGAGTTGTGCTCAGATTTTTCAAGGTACCAGAGTCTGCAATAGAAAGTCAGAGATCTTACTATGGACTATTAATAACTGATTTGATCTCATTTTGTTTCCCAAAGAAATTTTAGGAGAAACATCGAAAATGAAAAGGATACTTAATCTCCATCACAGCTCCTGAGCTACAAAAGAGCAGCTTCTGAGTAGCATTTTCATTTTTTATTATTCATTTGATGCTGATTTTCTCACTCTGCGGGGAAAGAAACATAAATGAGATCTCTTTAACATCTCAGTTGCTGTTCTCCAGCTGCAAGGAGATTAAATGGAGAGCGCATGGAGAAATCAGGTCAAGTAGAAATAACACCTGTAGAGTTTCAGAAAAATCTTAAACTGTGCTCAGATTTGTCAAGGTTCCAGAGTCTGCAATATAAAGTCATAAATCTCACTATGAACTCATGAAAACTGATTTGATCTATTTTTGTTTCTCCACAAAGGAATTTTAGGAGAAACATCTAAAACAAAGTGGATACTTACACGAGATCTTCATGACATCTGAGCTACAAAAGAGCAGCTTCTGAGCAACAACATTTTCATATGATGTTATTAATTTGGTGCTCATTTTCACACTCTGCACTGCAGGGCACAAAAACACAAATGAGATCTCTTTAATATCTCAGTTCTTCTCAAACATTGTAATGAGATTAAATGGAGAGTTTACTTATGGTAAATCCTGCTTTTTAGACATTTCTCCTGAGATAAAGACTCACGTGTCAAGAGTTTCTGTAGACATCTCAGCAATGTCTCAAGCTGTCATATTTATCATTATGATCTTTTTCTCATGAGTGTGTCTTTTACTCATACTGTGCGTCAACAATTTTATTTTTCCTGAGGACTTTTGGACATAAAATAAAGCTGATTTTTTCACAGAGAACTTCATTAAGTCTCCTGAGCACTAAAAGTGAAAAATGCTCCTCAGGGGTGTTCAGTGGGCCAAGAGAAAGCCCAGAAAGCCCAGGAGGAGAGACGGACTTAAATTAAGATTATTATGTGAATAATCTGTGTAATTAAATAGAACTGGTGTTACATTTTGGCCAAAATAGAGATATTCAAACTGTAAGATGACCCTCAGGAAAATGTTATGAGAGTTTTTATGAGATCTCTTACTGTGTGAAGGTGCAAGTGTGCACATTGACTTGTAGACTCACCCAAGTGCTCACTGTCCATTTCCATAGCAACAACCCCACCAAAAATGGCCCAGTTCCTTCATTCCTTACTGTAAACAATGCAGGAAGCTTATCTGAAATGCACAGACACACTTTGAAGACATGCACACCGATCAGAAAGTACCAAGTATAGAGGAGGAGAATTTTAATAGAATATGTGAACAGGAGTTCATAGGTAATTTCCACATTTTACATATCTGATTGTAACATACACAAAATTATATGACATGCAGCCTTGTGCGAACTTGTTCAAGTAATGGATTCATGTTGAGGATCTGCTTTAAGACACCCTCTAAGCGTATTACACACAGAATTATGGGATGTCTGGGAATGGGGCTGTAATTTCGACTGAAATGTGCAATTATGCTTTCGCAGAACTTGTCAAGACGGTCACCTGTTAAGAGTAGGAGGAAGACTAATATATATATATATATATATACAGTATATGAGTGTTTCTTCATACTGAAAGGAAGTGAGAGAGCATGATTTTTGAGCAAACGTCTTTTTGTCCTTGTCTTAGGACATTCGTCAAGGAACGTTGGACACCTTCTATGTATTTGTGATCAAAAGACTGAATTCTTGGACCATGAAGTACTTTTCATAGTAGGCTATCAATGTTTGTTTTATATAGTTTTTAATAGACACTTCAGTTGATTTTTTTCTCAAAGGAGCAGTCCTTCAGGTTAAATTTTCTGTCAAAGCATGAATGTACGTTCAAACTGGCTTCATTTTAAGCCCAAAATTCAGTTTTAAAGGGATCCCCGAGTTAATTTAACTCCAACATAAATAATCAGTCACTGTTTTCTTACCCATTACCTTCAACCAAAACGTGATCGACGTTTCACTGAAGAAAGAGGTTTTGGAATAAGTACTGAATGTGAACAAATCCCTTAAGAAATCAGCCGGCAGGCATACTGCTATAAAGCTAATTTTACTCTCATAAAATTTTTGTAGTTTCACAAGATGTACTTTAGTCGTCATATTTGAACCGCAAGTTCACTGAATGTCCAATAGATGGCAGAATACACCAAGACTTCGCATTGTACCCAACTCAAAATCAGTCAAAATCAACATTAAAAGCATAGCTCACCTCAAAATCATTCTGTTAACGTTTACTCACCATCACGTCGTTACAGGCCCGTACGACTTTCTTTATTTTTCGGAATACAAAAGGATAAATTCTGTAGAATTTACGTCTCACAATGAATGCTGACTGAAAATGTCACATCCACAAAATCACAATAAAAGCAGTCCTTATGACAATATTTAAAGTTTTCAAAATCATACGATAGCTTTGTTTGAGGAACAAACTGATATTTAGGCCTGCGTCAGTACTCTCTGATAATCTTGCCCTCAAGTGGGCGGTTGCCCATTGAATTTAAAGCCTCGAGAACCGGTTTAGTCCTACCTATAATTCACTTTAAAGAGTGATTCATGCCAGATTCGACGAATTAGCCGTGAGAAATCAGCCAGAATTCTAATGTAATTAAATTTAGGAACTGTTGGTTTCTGACAGAATCGATATTGTTAAAAATATTGATATTCACCTGAATATCGCCTGAATGTGAAGCCTTTATTATTGCGATTTTGTCATTTTTTTAGGCATTTTTTCAGTCACTTAATTGTTATTGAACGGAAAAGATATTCTTAAACATTTTTCCTTCAGTTTTGATGTCATATTGTGAAATTAAATTAGTTTTACGTTTTTTGTAACAATTTATAGAATAATATAACTAACTAATTTAAAAAATAACCACCTGAGACGCTCAGGACCCTTAACGTTAAGGACCCTTGGCGAGCGCCGTGTGGGGTTTTAACGCTTTTCAATAACGTGGGTAAAATCGCCACGCTCCCTGCGGTCTCCTGTGTGTCTGGACGCTCTTTGTGTTGAATGTGATCAGACAGCGAAACGAAGCACACAGACCGTTGTCAGGTGCCCGGAATCACACCAACGCCGATCACATCGCAACCACCGGCTTTTCTACAGCCTTTGACATCCATATCACCACCTTAAATCTTTAATCAGGTTAGTGTTTGTTTGGTTTGCCTTCTAAAAACGTACAGAACGAAAGCGGGGCGCGTTGGTGAGCTGCAGTCCACTGCGGAACACGCGCATATGTGTTATACGTCTTTATTTGTGTTATTTATACACAAATCTATCGCTCACAAACGCGTTAGGTGTTTAAACCTTGTTTTGATTATACATTTACAAATAAGCCTTACAGCAACACGAATGTGGCTCTTCTGGCTTAAAGTGATGGTAATACAGTCGTACTTTGATGGTACTGAAATTCATGTACCATGGTATTGACATTGTTCTCCAAGTTACTTTCTGGAATACCATGGTACTACAAAGGTACATGTTTAAAAAGCCATGATAGTGCATGACATTATGTCCAAACCATGTTACCGTGTCATTTCAGTGCTTTTATGTCAGCTATACCATGGTTCATTACATCAGAATGGCATGGTAAATGTAAAACAAGTTGTACTTTTTTGTAAATGTACACATACAAACAAGTACTCTTGTATTAGCATGTTTCTGACATGTACTGCTGTATTTTTTTTAGTTGCCTCCTGTAAACACAATGGTATTTGAATATGATAATTATTTAGTTCCATGGAATGAAATTATATAGAAATATCGTGATATTACAGTGTGGTGCCATCACTTTACCATAGTATAACCACAATACTTCTTTAAAAGTGTAGCTATTACAGAGTAACCTGAGGTGTCTTTCTCAAGGGAACAGTGGTGATCGGTTCGACCTTTTGGGGTTCAAACCTACAACCTTTGGATTGCAAACCTAGGCCTTTAACCATTAAGCTGCATTAGAATTTGGTGCAGTTATTTAAAATGGCTTAACTTTGGAGTAGTTTGGTGTAGTAGTTAGAGCTGAGGTGATGAACAGAAGGTTGTTGGGTTAAGTCCCAGAAGTACCAATTGATAAAGCCTTTAGACCACAGTTCAGAGCGTAATGTATTAAAGAGGTTTTTAAGATGTCATAGTGTCAGTTATGAAGAATAACTGGTTCTTCTGCATCATATATCACTGTCGTTGGTTTTCACGGAACACTGCATAATTTAATAATGCGTACAGTGTTTTATAACTGTAATACTGATGCGTTTAGTCTTCTGTCCCGCCACAGAAAATCAGGCAGTAATCTCATTCTTTTCAAACAGTATATGTTTGGTTGTTTCAAAGACACCATTCAACTTTTGTTGTTAGTTCATATTTGTCCATACTTTTTCCATACATTGTTGAGATACAAAGTGACATTTGATTTCTGTTGATGGCTATACTGTATTGTTTATGTTCTTAGTGGCATGAAATGTAATACGCAATGAGGTTTAATGGTTAAGGTTAAGGGATTTTTCAAATCTATAATCTAACAGTAATTGCTAGTCATAACTTGCCTCAGAACACCAAATTCTCTGTTGTTGAAACGGAATTGACTTCAAAGGATGGAGAAACAGATAACTGGCACAACGTTGTAACAGGTTCAGAAATGTTCTTAAAAGTGTTTTATTGCCATACATATCTTTATAACTTCCTGTTCTTGGGCTGCGCTTGATCTCACGTGATGGTCTGTAAATAGACCTTCAGTACGGTGTAAATCAAGAGTCTAATCTGTGGTATCAATGAATAGCCGTTGACCTTGGCCATTCGTTTCAAGTCGATTGCCCCCCTTTGACTATACTGGCTACTTTTCCACCCTGTTTACTGCAAGCGTTCTTTATGTTCAGAGCTCTTGAACCTGTATAAGAGAAGCTTTATGCGAGTTAATTTGTGGAACGGATGTGGGTTGCATTGGGTTGGTGAAAAGAACTTGTGGGTGTGAATGATATAAATAGTGACTCTCTTCCAGGTAACAGAAGTGTCTGTTTCCGCAGTTCAGGAAGTTTGATGTGTGCAAAAATGACATCCAATCAGAATGATCCACATTGTGAGCTTTACCTGGTTTTTAACGGTAGCTGGTTTTGCTGGATTTCACCACAGGCTTTGACATGAGACTGTCAGTTGGCTTTTGTGTTGATGTCTAGATTAAGCTGAGTTGACATTTATTGACGTTGTCTTGAAAACACCTTGGAAACACCTCTTACATTTCCCTCAGAATCTGTTTTCAGAAAATTTCCCTTGGTAGAGTTAAAGGAATAGTTCAGCCAAAAATGAAAATTTGCAAATATTTACTCACCCTTGGGCCTTGCAGTATTTAGATAAGTTAGTTTCTTCATCTGTACATATTTGGAGAAATTTAGTATTACATCACTTGCTCATCAATGGATCCTCTGCAGTGAATGGGTGCCGTCAGAACGAGACGTTCACTATTCATAATACTGCTTTCTCCATTGAAAGAGGTATCTAGTCCGAATCAGGAGAGAAATACGCACAGATTAAGGACTGTTTGGAAGCAAAAGGAGTTCTAAACATTTTGATGTGAGAGGACAACAGGCGATGGACTTTTTCACTGCAGGAAGTGTTATTATGAGTTATGGACTCATATTTTGGTCAGAAGTGATGGTTTAAGGTTAAAACACCTCAATTATGAATTTGTTTCTTACAAACATGCAGCTTTTCACTTCACAAGATGTTAATTGATGGACTGGAGTGGTGTGGATTGCTTGTGGATTATTGTGATGCTTTTATCAGCTGTTTGGGACTTTCATTCTGACGGCACCCATTCACTGCAGGGGATCCATCGGTGAGCAAGTGATGTAATGCTAAATCTTTCCAAATCTGTTCTGATCTTAAATGGTTTGAGGGTGAGTAAATATTCAGGAAATTTTCATTTTTGAGTGAACTATTCCTTTAAGACTACATCTCCCAAAATGCATTGCTGTGGTGGTTACATTGGAATGCTGGTAGCGGTACCTTAAAAGTCTTGGAAGGTGTCATTTTTAATTATGTAACGACTTCTGAACCTATGTTTCTGACACTAACCACATTTTTTTTAATGTGGAAACGAACAGAATGGATTTCGCATTCAGAAAATTTCCTCAAGAGATTTGCTCTGACAGCAGGCCTCAGCGGGGATAATTTCGCCTGCGTGTGTAGCTCAGGAAAAGGCCCTTTTTGGCCTGGAGTAAATGGCTTGCTCACTGGGATCAACTCTTGTGTTGTTTGGCTGTCAAATCAGTTGCAATATTCTGGCTGAAGCTCCTTTAAAAACATCCTGGTTGCATACTGGCCGTGTTCTGAAATTTGATGTTTTTCAAAAATATTATCCAAACATGCCAATTCTAAAATCCAACATTTTCTGTTTAGTAACCAATGTGATTTCATTTAGTAAACTTCAACTTAAAGTAGGGATGCAACGATACCATTTTTCAGATCCGATCCAGAAAATTCTGAGTATCGGCCAATTCCGATCCGATCCGATACCAGTGCAGTTTTTTTTTTTAATCAATGTAGAATTTCTATACTTCTGTGTGTTGACCTGATCGTCACTAGTTTGTGTGTTAAACACAATCTACTAAATATAGACAACTTAATTTTAATGAAAAATAGCATGAAGAAATATATCATAATCTGTCACAAAAAATACTATTATAAACTATGTTAGTGGATAATTTAGCAGCAAAAGTTATTCTAGAAAAATCATGAGTGCACAATTTTATAAAATCTAAACATTTATTGAAATAACATTTAGTGGGGAACAAATAAATTGAATAAGTGTAGGACTAAATCTGGTAAAATGTTACACATTGCTCTTTGTATTGTTGTAAAATACATGAATGAAAACAAGTAAATGTATTTATTTATAAATATAAACTATAAAATTAAAAGACATTTCTTTTAAATGTATAACACAGTAATGAAGGCAGCAACATGTGATAGATAGGAGTCCTATCTATCATATGTTGCTGCCTCGATTACTGTGGATCATAGGACCTATCATAGGACAGAACAAGAAACGCTATAAATAATCTCTCATTGCGCAAAAGTATTATAATACTAAAAGCTCCAATACAGAGCGGTACAAAGCGCTTATGCGCATCCCATGCGCAGAATGATGCGCTTGAAGCAACATGGAGTCACAGCGCTGCGTGCAGCGCTCCGCATAGAAAAGTTAAAAGCACAAGAGATACTGATGCGTAGTTTATTAAATCTGTGCGATAGTTTATTGAGCCTTTTCTTTTAACAGTTTTAAATTTCAGTTACTATGCGCTCTTGAAGAGAGTTTCATCGTTTTGACTGTAGTAACCGAACGCGACACACAGTTTGAACGCTGAATGGAGGATGACAGACAGACGCAGCGGAGAGAAGCGTTTACGTGAACTTGAATTTAACGACTTAAATATTCATCCGCACCTCACATTAAACTATGGAACGGCTTCAGAACACTTGGACTTTGACTTTATGGTGCTTTATAATGTTTTTGTGCTTTCGTGAGGCTTAACAATAACACAGAATAGTATACGCAGAATATCGGATTTGGATCGGTCTCGTCTGACCGATACCCGATCCGGCAGAAAATGCCAGTATCGGAGCCGATACCGATACTAAGTATCGGATCGATGCATCCCTAACTTAAAGCAATGAAATTGCTTGACAAGCAAAGGAGGAGGGACATTTTCATTCAGAGAGCATTTGATTGGACGAAAATCTGTGTAGTGCAGGATGATGTAATCAATATTTTTGGTTCTATTTCCCAGAAAAGACTGTAAATGAAAAAAATGTTCCTCAGCTGTTCTAGAATGTTATTAGCATGTTTTAGAATATTCCAAAGACTGTCATATTTTTCTAGAGTGGCCTTGGATATGGCAAATGTCCATTTTAATGAGATTTGTAGATTTTTCGCACACAGATTTTTGCACAGTTTTACATGTCACTTGCACAATTAGTCGATTTCTTTGAGAGTGTTTTCCGGAATCAGAGACTGGATCAACCTGTTCTTGTTGCTTTTTTTTGACCCCCTAGAAAAATGTACTTACATGAGAAGCCTGAAGTAAAACAGACAGGAAGAGCAGTGCTGTAAACACTATGAAAATAAAAAAACATTTGCAAGTCAAAAAAGCGAGACA